GCCCCGGCGACAGGCGGGACTTCGTGTCCCAAGACAAGGCGAGGACGGAGAGGGAGGGGGTCCCGCTGCGGACCGCTCCTCCCAGTTCTAGGACGGGGGCGGAGTCCGCAGGACCAGCCCGGGACGCCACGCGGTCCGCGTCGGGAGCCGCTCCGGGAAGGCGCTCGGCCTGGCGACGGGCGCCATGGTTACGCAGGCCTGGCGACGGGCGCCATGGTTACGCAGCCCTGGCGACGGGCGCCATGGTTACGCAGGCCTAGCGACGGGCGCCATGGGAGGGGGAGAGGTCGGTTCTAGAAGGCTCTACCGGGGAAACAGAGTCAGGACGCCCGGGGCGGGGTCCGGGCCCGCAGAGCGGGGAGGCGTCCCGGAGGAGCCGGCCTCGCCCGGGTGGCGTCCATGGAGACGGCCGCGCCGCGCTTGAAAAAACACGACGCGTCCCCCGAACGCCAGCCCCGCGCGTCGTCTCGGGGAGAAATGAACGGGGCCCGTCCCGTTTTTGGGGAGACGCGGCGCGGGGAGGACGGGAGGAGGGGACGCCGGGCAGGAGACTTTGGGGTGACAGACGTGCTCCGCGTCCCGCTCTGGCTGCGGCCCGCGCGGGAGCCCGAGCGCGGAAACCCGGCACGCCGCGCGTTGGGAATTTGCGCCCTCTCGCCTGTGCGCGACGCAGACGCAGAAACCGACAACGGCGCGAGGAAATGCGCGGCGGGGTCGGCGCATTCTCCAACGGAGCCCGCACCCGACTTTCCGTCCGGTGTCGTTCTGTCCCCAGTGCTCTGTGCGCATCCCGACTTTCCCACCGTTGTCGTTCTGTCCGCACCCCGACTTTCCATCCGGTGTCCTTTTGTCCCCAGTGCTCCGTGCGCACCCCGACTGTCCCTCCTTTGTCCTTTTGTCCCCGGTGCTCCGTGCGCACCCCGACTTTCCGTCCGTTGTCCTTTTGTCCCCGGTGCTCCGTGCGCACCCCGACTTTCTGTCCGGTGTCCTTTTGTCCCCAGTGCTCCATGCGCACCCCGACTGTCCCTCCTTTGTCCTTTTGTCCCCAGTGCTCTGTCCGCACCCCGACTGTGTCTCCGTTGTCCTTTTGTCCCCAGTGCTCCGTGCACACCCTGACTTTCCCACCGTTGTCGTTCTGTCCCCAGTGCTCTGTCCGCACCCCGACTGTCCCTCCGTTGTCCTTTTGTCCCCGGTGCTCCGTGCGCACCCCGACTTTCCGTCCGTGTTTTCTGTCCGCAGTACTCCAGCACCACCCGCAGGGAGCACACGAGGGTGGCGGCCAGCCCCGCGCCCGGCTTCCTGGAGCGGCTGGGCGA